CACAGCAAATAACTTGTCAATTACTATGACGATCTCAGGTCAAAGGAAACTCTTACATCACATCCTTCAAGAGAATATCTTATTGACAATTTATGGTAATTCTAACCATTAGGAATTATCCAATGAGTCGGTTCAATGATCATATCTCTATATGTATCATCTATCTATGTGATTCAGTTAATGAGATCAACTAATCTTTATCCCATAAAGACAATCACATAAATATTGATCTAACCGGGTTACTAATTTCCAAATTAATAATCCTACGATCAAGAACAAATTTAGATTAAATTGTAAGAGACTTTGCTCTCATTATCATGATCTCTATCACGATGACAAATCTCAAAATTTAATCAAGGACCTTATCAAATTAATAATAACTATGATAAAAAGAATGTCATATATTTTTGTATCAAATAACGTTAACAAAAATATGTTCAAATCATCAAATATGAGATTGAATCTAGAGCATATCTACTATATCCCTAACATGTTATGCTTTTCTTAGATTACAAATTACATTAGACAAAGACATGTGACTTTGAAGTAACTTGAACTGTATATACACCTGAACGCCATGTGACTTTGAAGTAACTTGAACTGTATATACACCTGAACGCCATATTGGATTTTACAGAGGAGAAATTGAGAGCAAACAATTTCCTGTCTTATTGATTTTATTGAAGTCATGAGATTACCAGTTTCATCACCCATGTTGTGATCAAGGGTGACGAAGATCAATCTTTATTCAATAGCCGTCGAGTTTGTTATTTACTTTTTCTAGTCTAGGTAAGTTATATATAGGTAATCCAGGTAAGAGTGGTGCTCCTATGGTATTTAGAGATGCTGTGGTTTTTTGTGTGATGCAGTGATGTTACCCAATTTTTGGCTGTACCTACATGTCTTGTTTTGACTGTTTTATCGGAAATTACTCCATGTATTGTTTGACGTAAAAGGGATAGATTTATTTTTGTCTTCAATTGAATCTTTTTTCCGGCTCGATAAATAAATTTGATAAGCTACCTCTCCGCTTTCAGGCTTGGGTAACTTTGAAGGCAAAGTTGAGTGAAACCAAGTATAAAAATCAACAATCGCTGTTGATAGTTCCTTAATTATATATAGTTATACATATATATACCCAGTATTTTTAAGTAGTTTAGTGAGGGCTAGGTAATTGTTTTTCCCTATTAAATTTCAGTAATCATCCTTTTTGACTTTTTTTCACTTTTATTTTCCAGTATTAGTTTATTTATTTATTTATTGTTTTTGGTTCTAATTTGGCTTGCGTTGAAATAGTCAAATATGATGGATGCACATGGGGTGTACAGAGTAAACCGACAAACCGCACCAACCCGATAATTCGAGTCAAACCGAGAAAAAAAACTTGACTATGGTTTGGTTTGATTTGGCTTGGTGTTGGAAAAAAAAACCGACCATAATTGGTTTGGTTTGATTTTAACTAAAGAAAGTCAAACCGAAACCAAACCAACCTGACATTACATATATAGAAATTTTAGGTATATTTAATATATAAATATAATTATTGTGATGTAATTTATAAATATTTCTTAAAAGATTTCATAATTTTATCTTTTGAGGTATTATTTCAAGGTTGAACTTAGAACTTTTGAATGTTCCAATAAGTTTTATAGCCATTAACATTAGTAAATTAAGTAGTGCTAGCAAAAGCCCAAACCAAAATCAAATCAATATTAATGCTAACAAAAGATATTCAATTTAATAGTACGAACGTGAATGTATTGAATATCTATTTTTTGTTTTGTAATAATTTAGATAAAAATGCATAACCTATTTTTATTTTTCCTTTAGTGTTTAGTCATGTAATTAATACTCCCTTATTAGTCTACTTATTTTAGTATGACTTAGAACTTTTAGATTATGTTTATTTTTATTATGACTTTTTAATTAGCAATATTTATATTACATAATTTTATTGTCTTTATTGTTGAATATTTTAGGATAATGCCATGACATATCTCATATTTTATATTATTTTCTTGGAAAATACTTTATATAGTTGTATCTTACTAGGACTAAAGAAATATTTTGAGCACAATTTATTTGTTTTGTTCTACGAAGATTTTACCGAAAAAAAAATCCGAAAAACCCGAATAACCCGAAAATCCGAGAAAACCCAAAAAAACCGAGAGTGAAAAATCCGAATTTTATTGGTTTGGTTTTTAGATTTAATAACCCGACACAATTGGTTTGGTTTGGTAATTGTAAAATTCGAACCAACCCGACCTATGTACACCCCTAGTTGCACAACATATGGATTCTTGCCTTTTCTTGAATCCCACAAAGTATTATAGAACTTATCTTCCTTCTCTTGCTTCATTGTACATTTTTCTGCTCTAACTCTATCTATAATATAAAAACTTTCTCATTAATCAATTAAAATATTACAGGACTGGCTTGGAAAAGGAGTTAAAATAGAACGGTCTAGCCAATTTTCGGATTGGCCATTCAAAAATAGCTTGCGTTTGCCAAGTCATTGAAAAATAATCACTATTTTGCTGCAACAGAGACTGGTCCAGCATAATATACTGGAGTTCGGTGCACCTATGTATGAACTTCCAGCATATTATGTTGGACCGGTATATTATGTTGGAGCTCCAGTATATTATGCTGGGGTATTTTTCCGGATTTTGAATAGTATTTTCGTTCAAATTTATCTTTACATAAAAAGTGGCTAAATTTTGATTACTTTTGAAATTGTGACTATTTTTGAATGAATATTTGTAAATCTGGCTATTTTTGAATTTCTACCGGAAAAGGAGTGTGTAAGAGAAAACTCTAACCAGGCCTAGCAAAAACCTAAACAATGTATAAAGTACAGTAGTTAATTTTTCAGAGAATAAAAATATTTTAGTAATGTTCTTTTCATCTGCCTAAATTTTGGTGTACATAATATATATACAAATTAGTCAAAATATTCGCAAGTTAACCCAGACACCCGTCGTGTTATTAAAAGTTCCTTTAATTATGATGTTATTTTCCACTGCAGTTCTCAAACGAATTAGAAGTATTACTTTCCAATTATTAGATGAAAAGTTATTACCTTGTTTTTAGCAGTTATAACTCCCCAACAACCTTAACCCTAAATTCAAGAAATTCTATTTTCATCAATATCCAAAGCATATACATGTACTAGCTACTCCAGTCATATTTTATACGATACATTTTGACTGGTCACAGAGTTAAAAAAAGAAAATATTGGAAATTTGTGATCAAATAAATTATCTCATTATGAATAAAATAAGGTATTTAAGATTAAATTATTTTTAAATATTAAAAAATTATTCTTTTCGGGACAAACCAAATAGAACAAGTATTTTATATAAATTGGGAGAGAGAGAGTATTTATTACTGACATTCAAAATTTTTATGTGACCCAAATGTATTCCTCCAAATCTAAACCAACGCGAAATTCCCAGCTAATTCTTTTAAAACCATTGAAACATGTAACAAATATACATCATTGCTTGAAGCTAGCTCAAATATTATAGCAAACACCATCCACAACCTATTCATTTCTACTTTATTTACACGTTTTCCCCATCTTTTTAGTTTTATATAAATTAAATCATTTCCTTCTTTTCCTTTCCATTAAAACACAAACAAAAATCTTTCAAGAGAAAGAAGAAGGGAAAAGAAAGAAAACAAACACAAAAAATACAAATATTCATCTTTCTTTTACCTTCCCGTCCTTTCAATCAAAACACAAAGAAAAATTTTATTTATTTTTTGCGTTTTGCAAAAATGGCCAACAGGAAATTGGTTACCTTAATGGTGATCTTTTGCTTGTTGGTGGCCACAGATGCAACAATAAAAGTCACAAATGCACCTGAAAAAAGCAATGTCAATTACTCTTTGCTACAATGTTATTATGAATGCTTGCAAATTAGAGTTTTCACATTGACTGAATGCCAAAGAGAATGCAGAAAGGCTTGTAAAAAATACAACAATAATGTGTAGCTTGGTATTAAACGGGGCACATGTGAGAGAGGATATCAACATTCTTGAACAATTTTTGATGTATCACTTTTGCAAAGGTAGAATTTTCCAATATATAAATAACTTCTTTCCTTGAATTTTTTTTGGGTTCTTTTTTGGTGTTTTTCTTTTGTCTATGCTTGTAAATATATTTTATATAAATATTTAGTATTGACATTGTTTTATTTTAAGTTAAATGAAAGAAATGTTTTTGGAGTGGAGCAACGGTAAAATTATTTCCGTGTGACCTATAGGTCACAGGTTCGAGCCGTGGAAGCAACCACTAATGGTTGCATTAAGTTAGAGTGTCCACCATCACACCTCAAAAGATGCGGCCCTTTCCCAGACCTTGCATGAATACCAAATATTTTATGAACCAGACTGTTCTTTCTTTTTGTTTTTGGTTAAGGCCGGGACACGAAAGAAAGGATTCACTTCTTGAAATTCTAAGTAAAATAATGGTTACATTAATCGGTTGGCCAACATTATCTCGATCTTGAACTATCAAAACACAATTAGTTCCAGTGTATCTAGTGTGAAATTAGTCGAAGTGCGCGCAAGCTGTTTCAGATACCATGGCTAAATAAAAAAAAAAAAAAAAA